TTTTGCATTTCTCTAAAGATATATGATGGGGAGCATCTTTTCATGTGCTTACTTGCCATTTGTATACCTTCTTTGGTGCAGTGTCTGTTAAGGTCTTTGGCCCATTGGTTTTTTGGTTTTTTGGGTTTTTTTAAACAAGCACAAAAGGTGATTCTGGCGCACCAGATCCTTGGCTCAGTCTTTGAGAAACCATGCGACAGTAACCAGAGAACAAGCATCTGTGATGATAAAGTCTCACCATGTTGAAGTCAGATCCAGGATCTACGAGAAGGGCATCCAGCCATGCCATTTGGCCTCAAGCTCAAGTTCAAGAGCCCTAAAATTTGGCTACTGTTCACTGATAAATTTGTTCATGGAAGCAAGCTCCTCCACAAATTCAAAATTTTGGTCCTTCTGAGCTTGAGGGTTATCTTATATCACTTAATAATTATAATGGAAATGCAACAGAGGTAACTTGCTGGTCACCCAGTTATTCACAGACAGAATATTTTACTCATTTCTGCTGAAATTTTCATTTTACCCACTGGCTTTGGACTTAGTTTGCTCTTCTTCTCCTGTCCTCAGGTGAAAGTTTAGGTTGTTGATTTGTGATCTTTGTCTATAAGGTAGGCAGGAGTATCTATACATATTCCTCTAAGCACTGCTTTAGCTGCATCCCACTATGTTTTGGTATGCTGTCTTCATTTTCACTCATTTCAAAATAGTTTCCTTTTCTCTTGTGATTTATTTTTGACACATTTGTTATTTAGGAATGTGATGCTTAAATTTCATGTATTTGTGACTTTCCCAAACTTTCTTATTATTTCACTGTGATTATTTTGTATGATTTTAATCTTTTTAAACTTACAAAAGCTTGTTTTATGATCTAACATATATGGCCTATTCTGAAGAATGTTCCATGTACTCTTAAAAAGAAAGCCAATATGTTTGGCCACACATGGGAAAAAGAGAAAACAGTCTTTCAGTCAGTTTGATTCCACGCCTCAAAAGCATTAAGCCTACTGGCCAAGGTTTAAATTGGGGGTTCAACACCATGGGAGGTGGTATCTCTTTCAGAGGAAATTCGTATCTTACTACATGTTAAAAGTAGCCTAGAGTTGGCTAGAAACCATATTTACCCATCTTTCATATCATGGCATACAAAAAACACTAATATTAAAGGCATACTGGAGTAAACAGAAGAGGCTCCCTAATAAAGCACTGGCTCTTCTAGGCAGTAGCCGACTACATGAAGAGGTGAAAGGAATGAATAACCAAGAACGTTCATAACTAGAGCAACTGTGTCACGTTGCCTGTCGTCTAGGTATAACTTTTAATAGTTTTCCACTTTTTCAAAAATCTTCCAGCTTAGATAATGGGTTATGATTAGCTTATCTATAACCCTCTCAATACCAGATACTACTATCAGGTTGGGAAGCTCTGAGCTAGGGCAATGCTCCCACGAACTGGTTCTCAAGCTTAGCTGAGTATTGCTACACTTAGAGGACTTTTAAAAAACACCGATGCCAGTTTTATCCTCCAGATTCTGGCCTAAACATCTGTATGTGTAAAAGCTCTAGGGCTGATTCTGTTAACCAAGTGCTGAGAATCACACCACCTAGTTCAAACAGAGCCTGCCCTGCAGTAGCGCATCACTCTATTTCCTCAGTTTAAGCAAATAACTGGGAAGAAACAAACTCTCTTTAGTCTGTCCATTCTCATGAACTCCTCTCCTGCAACAACCAATCCCAACGTCTCTCCACCCACCGTAAGGATTAACCTTTGTTATTGCCTTCCCCCAAACCCAGAACTAATGAGACTTCCGTGTTTCTACTTCACTCAATGTGGTTCGCTCATATTGGCATTAATGAGTACCTCTTGATTCCTAACTCCTAACTTCCAAAAATACCTAGAGATTGTTGTTCTGTTGATGGTAGTTTCCTGTTTTCTAATGTTGCTTTACTGTCTGCTATACTTGTTTTGCATTTCTTTAGTCACTTTAATAAAACCTTGGAAGAGGGAAAAAGAAGAAGACTTAGTCTCATCATTTTCAAGCCTTTTTTTCATCACTTGGTTTTTATAGAACAATGACTAGTTGTGGTTGTTTCGTTCGTGTACATTTTCTAGCTCTTACCACCCAGCAACAAATTCAATCAACAATCAATCCCCATTTTCCCTAAGAGGAACACTTCTCTTCTGAATCCAAGATAACACCGTCAATAATAGTACTGACTACAAGTTGTAACATCACCAGTCAATTTGTCAGTCTGGCTCTTATTACAAATGACAACTAGGAGCTTAGCAAAAGTAAAAACTGAAGGTGAGGAGTTTTGGAAAAATCTTTCAAACTGTTAATATCTGATACTAAACATACATAAATTCAGATGCTATTCATGTCAAAATTATAAGAAAATGTTTCTACTTTTAACAAATCTCCACTACTCCCCATCTACAAAGTATTATAGTCAGGGTACAAATTTCAACTTGGAAAAACTACTGGCAATTCTAAGTAACTACTACCAGTAAAACTCCTGTTCACCTTAGTCACACAACTACTGAAGAACTGTTCAGACTGCTGACTGAGGAAAAAAATTCAAAATTGAGTAGAAGAATGGTCATAATGCTTTAATAATTTCTAATAATTAATAATAATAAACAACTTTAGACCCCTCCTCTCATTGCTTCCCTAACCAAGATTCAATGAATAAAAATTTCAACTTAAAAAAAGTAATTTTTTAAAAATCAAAGTATACTTGACTTACAGTATTACACTATTTTCAGGGGTATACCATGATTTAATATTTTTATAGATTATACTTCATATAGTTATAAAATATTGGCTGTATTTCCTATGCTGTACATTATATCCTCGTGGCTTATTTATACCTAGTAGTTTTTACCTATCTCCTTCATCTATTTGCCCCTCTTCCCTCTAATAACTAGTTTGTTCCTCTGAGTCTGTTTCTGTTTTGTTATATTGCCTAGTTTATCTTTTAGAGTCTACATATACATGAAAACGTACAATATTTGTCTGTCTGACTTATTTAACTAAGTGTAATACCCTCCAGGTCCATCACAAATGGCAAATTTTTACTCTTTTTTTTTATGACTGAGTAATGTTACATTTTCTATTTACATATGGAATTAGGGTACACATATCTTTTTGAAACAGTTTTGATTTTCTTCGGATATATATCCAAGAATGGAATTGCTGGATTTTTTAACTCTTTGAGGAACCATCATAGTTTTCCACAGTGGCTGTGCCAATTTACATTGTTATTAACAATGTACTGGGGTTCCATTTTCTCCACATCCTCACCAACACTTGTTATTTCTTGTCTCTTGGAGGATAGCCATTCTGACAGGTGTGAGGTGATACCTAATTATGGTTCTGACTTGTGTTTCCCTGATTAGTGATTCTGAACATCTTGGCCATATGTATGTCTTTGGGAAAATGCCCATTCAGTTTCTCTGCTCATTTTTCAATCAGGTTGTTTGGTTTTTTTGATATGGAGTTGTTTTGAGTTCTTTATATATTCTACATATTAACACCTATCACATCATTTGCACATATCTTCTCACAATCAGTAGATTGCCTTCTCATTTTGTTGCTGGTTTCCTTTGCCTTGCAAAAGCTTTTAAGTTTGATTACATCCCATGTGTTTATTTTTGCTTGTTTCCCTTGCCTGGGGAGACAGATTCAAAAAAATATTGCTATGACCTATGTCAAAGAGCATACTACTTGTTTTCTTCTGGGAGTTTTATGATTTCAAGCCTTACATTTAGGTCTTAAATCCATTTTGAGTTTATTTTTGTATATGGAAAAGATGTTCCAATTTCATTCTTTTATATGTAGCTATATGTAGTTTTCCCAGCACCATTTATTGAAGAGATTGTAATTTCCCTATTGTATAATCTTCTTTGTCATACAGTATGTGTTTGAGTTTCTTCTGGTTCTCTAATCCATTCCATGGATTTATGTTTCTGATTTTGTTGAGGATTTTTCCATGTATATTCATCAAGCATATTGGCCTGTGCATTTTCTTTTTCTGTAGCATCTTTGTCTGGTTTTGTTATCAGGTTAATGCTTGCCTTCTAGAATGAGTTCAGAAGTATTTCCTCTTCTTTTTGGTGGAGTCTTTAGGGTTTTCTATATATAGTATCTTCAATTTTTTTTGGAATAGTTTGAGGATAGGTATTACTCTTTAAATGTTTGGTAGACTTCCCCTGTGAAGCCATTCAGTCCTGAGCTTTTGCTTCTTGGAAGTTTTTTAAATTAGATTCAATTTCAGTACTGGTAATTGGTGTATTCAGATTTTCTATTTCTTCCTGATTTAGTCTTGGAAAATTGTATGATTCTAGGAATTCATCCATTTTTTTCTAGGTTGCCCAATTTATTGGCATATAACTATTTGCAGAATTCTCTTCTGATTGTATTTCTGTGATATCAGTTGTCACCTCCCTTGCATTTCTAATTTTGCTTACTTGGGCCTTCTATCTTTTATTAATGAGGCAGATGAAAAGTTTATCAATTTTATCTTTTCAAAATACCAGCTCTTAGTTTCATTGATCTTCTCTCCTTATTTTTAGTCTCTCTTTTTGCTCTGATCTTTATTATTTCCTTCAATTACCAAAAGTATTTTATTTGTGAACAATGTGAGACTGATGATACTAGCTTTGTATAGTTTCGCTTTCTGTTTCTTATTCTTCCCAAAGGTTCAATTTTAAAAAAGAGTATTACTGCTTAAAAATTTCAAAACATATACATACAATCTGTACTTATAACATTTTCAAATTTGTCTGTAACAGCTTAGAGCTTTGAAGAGAAGGAGGGACAGTGGCTGTGAGGACAGGAAAGAAAGGGAGACAATATTCTTATAGTAAAGATTCATAAAATTAGAAGAAATAATGGGATACTATCACTTAACCATATAAAAACTTCCTGCTACTTTAGCACAACCTGGTGGTGATTCTATGTATAGTAAATGTCAGGCAAATCAATAAAATTTTGTAGTTACTTTAACTACACTTGTAAGTAGTATCATTTTAATTCAGAAATTTAAATACACACATTCACAGGGACTGTTTAAAAAACTTGTAAAAAAAGGAGTTAGCCAAAAGCAATAGCAAAATTACATGATTACAGTAGGCTGAATTTGCACACAATATTCATTAAATAAAAATCAGAAAGTAAAATCATTACACACGCCCTGTCCGTCATCAAATTATTCCAAAAAATCTAATATTGGTATGCTAATGAGCCAAAGTATAAACATCTCTTTATGACCAACCGCTCAGACACCATAAACACCACTTTCACTTCTTCAGCATCCCTTCTCGTGGCACTCTTCTTTACCTCTTACAGCAATTACTTTGTTGCGTCAACTTAAAAGCCTTAAAATTAAGAATTTATATGACTGGCCAATGGTTTTTGATGTAAATTCTTACTCTTTGTAACAATAGAAAACTTGTGTATATTTGATATATGGCATGCCAGTCTTCAACATGTACTAAATTTTATTAAGGTGTAAAATCAGGTTATCCTAATATTTGAAGCATTAACAATTTTTTTTAGAAACATAGAAACCCAAATATTATCATAAAATGGTTTTGCTCTAGCTCTTTTCACCATATTAAGATGTAAATACTTGAGAACTTACTAGACACTGAATTCCACAATATACTTGGGAAGACATGATTTGAATACGTTCACTATAAAGTACCAAAAGAGCTCAGAAGGTAATTGCAAAGTCATGTTTTATACTACATTTGTCCTACAGGTGTTTACATAATTCATTTTTCTACTTCACCCATTCTATAATATTCATTACAAACACTGGCTCCTGGGCTTATGATAACTGAAGCGTAAAGCACAGTAAATGATTCGAGTGATTATTTTCTCCATTTTCCTAAGGACAAAATCAGCACTATTCTAGATGCCACAGGGAATACAGCTTAATTCTCTCCTGGAAACCTGAGAAAAACTTGTGACAGACACTAGCACACATCTTTTCTTCCCTAAATCCTCCCCCCAAAAATAGTCTAGCCTCAGACCCCTGGTGTCTATTTACCTAATGACAGACTCCATCCTGTATTCCTAACCACAGGGAAAGTTGTTTGAAAACACTCAACTCTATATATTTAAATCTTATGTTTCCTCTTAAGTTGTATTTTTCTTTACAGTCCCTACCTTTATCAAGTTCAGTATATAAAAAGTCATTTTTTGTGACTTTTTAGTTATTTTCTATCCAAAAACAACAAAAATCTTCGCTTGTTTCTGGAGATCCAGGATATATAATTTTTTGTGTAATCTTTTGCATAATATAAAGTACATATAAATTTTGAGTTATCCTATTTTTGTGAACTGATGATGACAGTTGAATTATTTAACTCAAAAAGGTGGTGTGGATTTTACAAACCTTTGCTTTGACTCTCCTAAAATGATAAACAAATGCTAAAATATGATGAGGTTTATGTGCTAACCGGCAATCTCTAATGGTTCATTTTACCAAGCCACAGCAAACAATTTAAGAGAATCTCATTCCACACTATATGGATCAGCATTTGCAGGCTACGCAGCTCTGTAGCAAGTAGTCAACTCTGTCACTGTTGCACAAAAGCAGCCATAAACAATAAGTAAAGGATTTGGTATGGCTTTGCTCTAGTAAAATTTTACTTATGGAAACTGAATTTTCACGTTAATTTTTACATCTTGAAATATTCTTTTTTTTTTAACCATTTAAAATATAAACACAGTTCTTAGCTCACAAGGCCATGAGAAGCAGGCTGGATTCGGCCAACAGGCCAGAGCTGGCTGTCCTTTTTAGACTTTTATAGGTTACGCAACATGTTTAAAAATTACAGGTTCCAAGTCTAGAGATTTTGGAGACTTGTTTTTTTATCTCTCTCATTTTAAAGCTTATACCAGACAAGTTCTCTACTTTCTGGATAAATATACTCACGAGAGAGAAAATTATTCAGCATACAAATCTTACTTTAAAAAAAAAGACAGAAAGCTGCAAAATAGATTTGGTGCATAATTTCTTAGTTTTTACTTTAGGAAAAAAGACCATGAGGAAAAGATTTATAAATCTCGCCATCCCTTTCATAAAAGTTCCAACTGACACCAGCAGTCGACCTCGCATGTACAACCATCAAATCTGACTGCAATATGAATTATACCTAGGATTTGGAATTTACCAAGATGAGTTCTGGACACTCTTTTAAAAATGCACAGTTGTATCATAGCACACTATGGCTTCCACAAAATTTGAGACACTGTTGAACAGGAAACTCCTGCTTCCATAATATAAGGAAACAAGAATACTCTTTCCATAGTCATCGAAGTATTAAAAAAAAAAAACTCACAGTTTGATTTACCTTTATCAAAGGTAAAATGATTCACTTTTTACCTTTCATCGATTATTTTGATCCTCAGTAGTTCCTAAACACAAAATAAATTCCGCATGAACTCTCATCTGTTTGGGTTTTCAAAGCAAAATACCAATACAAAATGTATTGAACTGGCTGGCAGAAGTCCATGGGCTAAAGAAAAAGAAATTAAATATAAAATGTTTACCAACTTTATCCTTTCTAATTTTACAACAGCTTTAGGTATTGAGACCTAATTGGTTTCTTGTGTCTATCCATTATGAACATAACTCAACCTTCTATTTTAATACTCCTCAGTGTCTTTTTTTGCTGGGTGCTTCATTTTGCGACGTATAAGATCATCTCGTCCAACTTCAACCATTTGTTCTTCCCAAGATTTCATTTCATTATAATAACGAATTTTATCATCTTTAGCAAGTTGAATATATACCTGAGAAAAAGTGTAATTGTTAAAATGATTTCTTTAGAGGAATTTCTGCAAATAATTTCTGAAATGCTTCCCTATAAATTACCTTACTATTGTGCATGTATAAAGGGGGACTGAAAAGGAGTGTTTCTGTGAGGTAAAAATTAGACAAGAAAAAGGTAAGAGATAAAGATTTTTAAATATTAATGAAGTTGTTACAATTTCAATGCTTGGAATGTGGAAAAGGAGCAAGAGCAGACTGTGATCACCACTAGATAGAGCAACACTAAGTTATAAATGACAATGTTTTAAAAACCAACTTTATTTGCAGCCAAAAACTACAAAAGAAAAAAGCCAAATTAGTTCCAAGAATACGAAAATAACTTTAAAATATTTTAACTGTGAACTTAGTGATATAACGTTGTTTTCACATGAATCAAGACTTGTCCTAATATATTCTCATAGATATTCTAACTAGACACTTGAGACTAGAACCATACTACTTACTTGCTTTTGAGAACTAGATAGATTTTTCCAGTTTTCATTTACAGTTTTCAGCTTTACCTGTAAAACAACGTATGTTTAAGAACCAGATATAGGGACTTCAGTGATTAAAGAAAGGTTTTTTAAATTATTCATTGCAACAACAAAAACTCAGATAATCAAGAATCACGGGCAGAGACTCACCAATTCTTGTACATTACATCCCAGGATTTTATTTATAACTGATGTTTGTACATTTTAACCACCTTTACCCATTTCGCCCACCTTCCCCCATTCTGGCAAATACTAATCTGGTTTCTGTATCTAGAGTTTTTTTTTTTTAAAGATTCCACATACAAATAAGATTATACATTGTCTTTCTGACTTCACTTAGTGAAATACTCTAAAGGACCATCCATGATGTTACAAATAGTAAGACTTCCTTATTTATAATGGCTGAATAATATTCCACTGCATATATAATTTTCTTTATCCATTCATCCATTAATGGACACATTGGTTGCTTCTGTATCTTGGCTATTGTAAATAATGCTGGAGTGAACATACCGGTATAGATATCCTTTTGAGTTAGTGTTTCACTCTCTTCAGAAAAATATGCACAAGAAGTGCTGAACCATAGGATAGTTCTATTTTTAATTTTTTGAGGAATCTCCAAATTGTTTTCCATAGTGATTGCACCAATTCATATTTCCACCAAGAGTGTACAAGGGTTCCCTTTCCTCTGCATCCTCACCAACATTTGTTATTTCTTGACCTTTTGATAAGTAGCCATTCTAACAGGTATGAGGTGGTATCTTAGTGTAGTTTTGACTTATATTGCCCTGATAGTGATGCTGAGCACCTTTTCATGTACCTACTAGCCATCTGTATGTCTTCTTTTGGAAGAGGTCTATTCAAATCCTTTGCCCTTTTTTAAACAGATTTTTTTTTTTTTGCTATTCAGTTGTATGCATTCTTTATATATTTTGGATATTAACCCTTTATCAGATAAATCATTGCAAATATTTTACCCATTTGGTAGGATGACTTTTTGATTTTGCTGGTGGTTCCTTTTGCTGTGCAGATATTTGTCTTTCTGGATTCAGAAATATTAATATTTGAGTATAATCTACATTCTGTCATAGATTAAGTTTAAAAACTAAGTGTTTTTATTTCCTCTCTGTAGCTTAGTGTTTTTTTTCTAAAATTTGTGCCGAAGTGTTTAGGTTAGCAATAGGAACAACAACTAGTCCTTATTCTACTGAGCGGAACTTAATTATGTGACTTGGAAAAAAGTCATATTACCTCCCTTAGGCTTGGTTCTTCATCTATAAAATTAAAGGGATGCAGGAATCCCACAGCTGGAGAAGAGGCAGAGAGGAGAGTGAGTACACCTCACACAGCCTGTGCTGTTGCTCCCAGACAGCAAAGACTGAAGGGGAAAATGGGTGGGTGGAGAATGAGGGGCAGAGACAGAGGGACAGGAGAAGGAGAATATGAGGGAAAGAGGAATATGATTTGAAAAGTATCTGTTTAAAGCTAGGAGGGTAACATCAGTGATTTTAAGAAGTAGAGTTAGAACAATGAACTTTACTATTCTGACCAAAGCTTTGACAGCATTTTATTTTCCTATCAACAAAAATAAAGGTACAAAATAGTATCTGAGCCTACACAATCACTATGTTTTGAACATTTTAAATTTACCTTTATAAACACATCTAATATATTCAGGTATAGTTACTCACTAAATAACTGTTCTCTTAGTTTTGGAAAGAATTGCTTAAATGCCCTCATTTTTTTTTTTTATAACTTAGCTTGCTGTGGGAAAGTAAAAAAGGCAGATTGATTTACAATGCAGAATTCCCAAGTAGCACAGAAATTGGCAGCACCAGATAGGTATAAAATAGAGGTGAAGGTTGGGCTAAAACAGGAGGATTGATGGAAGAGGTCTGTTTAAAAAGAGGTTAAATCCCCACCATGGAGGACATTCATTCTTTCAAACAGTTGCTCTGTGGATACCCAGTACAGCTGGGGTAATGGTACCATCTGAAAACAGGGAGATTAAGTGAAAATGTGTATCCCAGAAAGAAAAGCAAAAACAACACTGACAGAAAAGAGAAAACAATACAGGTAAGTTAAGAAAATCAGAGGACTAGTTCAGAAGATGCATAAACAAATAAGAGTTCAAGAGAGTCAGAAGGAAAAAAAAGGGAGCGAGAGAAAAGGGGAGAAAAAAGAAATCAGATCACATTCAAAAGATCAACAACAAAAATGGCTTTATACTTCTCAACAGCAATTTAAAAAGGCTACAAGAGAAAGGAGCAATCTTTTAAAAATCTTGAAAGAACATGATTTCTACCCTAGAATTCTATGTCAAGTCAAACTATCAAACAAATGTAAGTGGAGACATTTTTAGACATACAAAATCTCAAAAACTTTATCTCCCATGTACTCTTACTGGGGAAGATGCTATAACAGAATTAGCAAACCAAGAAAGACAACAAAAGAAGCAAAAGCACCAAAAGGATGAAGAAGGTCCCAGGATGTCAGCTGAACACTAGGTAGAGAAGGAAACAACCAAACTGGAACAAATCAACAGCTCCAGATTCAAACTGACAGAATATCTAATGCAACTAAATGTACTCAAAGCTAGTGAAAACTGAAGAGCCTGAGGCTGAATTATTGATAGTACATAAAAAACTAAGCAAATAAAAAACAAGACATAATCAATTTCAGGAAAAGTCTTACAAGAAAGGAAAAAAATCTTAGCAAGTGGAATAGCTCAGCTATGAATACAGTTCACATAGTAAGTACTCAATACTGATCTAAACAAAATTATGGTAATTATATTGGGCAATAGGGTGATGGAACTGTGAATAGCAGAATGAGAAAAAGTTAATTTTCATCTTAAATAAACAGTGGGAGGTAATGCCTAAAATAGGTAATGCTTAAAATTTCAAAAAAATCAAGAGGTAACAATATAAGGATATCATTTAGAGATGTGGAAATACCGAAAGAATAAACTAAAACAGAATATATTTGCTTTAGGAGTAAAGAACCTAACTTAAAAACTAGTATCTTTCATAACAAACCTTATTTTGATTCTTTCTACTATAAGGATGTATAACCAGCAATTTTTACATGAGTAAAAATGATATAATTGAGTTAATTTTAATTTTCAGGAAAAAGACCCAGCTATGAAGATTCCAAGATGATTCCAAAGTACAGAGTTGAGAATCACTGATATAGAAGGATTCTCTAAAAAAAAAAAAAAAAAAAAAAAGAAGGATTCTCTAGCATGTAACGTTCCTATACTAATAAGAAAACCAAGTCCATGGTAAATTCGTGACTGAGCAAATTCCAACTTAAAAAATAAACATGGTGACTACTATATATAAAATAAACAAGTTTATACTGTACAGCACAGGGAACTATATTCAATATCTTGTAGCAGCTTATGGTTAAAAAGAATATGAAAATGAACACATGTATGTTCCTATATGACCAGAGTATTGTGCTGTATACCAGAAATTGACACAACATTGTAAACTGACTATACTTCAATAGAAATATATTAAAAAAATAAAAAATAAATAGGCTTGCATTTTTAGTAATGTAGTAATGTAGATTTAGTAATAGACACTATATCCAAAATCCCAATAGAAGCAAATCAGTGAAAGTATGTAGCCTGAAAAAAAGTACATAAAACATACACATTATTTAATCATATATTTAACAGGATGTGCGAAATGAACTAAAGATCCAAGTAACCCAAAGAGGCAGAGTGGCAAAAACCTAAATCTCAGACTGACAAGAGTTAGGGATCTGAACACTTTTCTCACCACGTCATATTATAAAAGGAAAAATACAACTGCCAATTTGGAGCTTCTGAGGAGGAAATAAAGGAAAGACTAAGCCACAACAGGAATGACAAGCTTTTTTTTTTGACACATTCATATGACGACATTCACATGCATAACACATTGCCATGGGCATAACCAAAATTTTACTAAAGGATATAACATGAAGCCATAGATGATATGCAAATCCTGGTACAAAATATTATACCTCTACTCTCATTCTTTCCTAGTGATTGTAAAACAGTGAAGAATTGCTGGAAAGGAAAAGTCTCCAGAAGTTTAACACCTTTATAAACTTGAAAATTTTACATGTCTTTTAAATTAAAAAAGTTAATTATATATACATATTGGCAACTACATATTCAAATTAACTGTATGTGGTAAGAAAAAGGATTTTTCTTTAAAAGAGATACAAGAAAGAGGGCCTTATTTGTATATGGTACTTGTTTATAGTATTTACTACTTCTTTTTACCACCTGACATATGGCACCACTAAAATTTCCTGTCAAGGTATTTTAAAAATTAGAATAAAAAAAATTTTTAAAACAAACACAGTTCTGTTTTACCTGTGATGTACCATCCTTAGCTTCCTGGAAGCGTTCAGCTATAAAAATGTTGTAAGCTGAGCGTGGTCTTTTTGGTTTTCCAAGCATTGTTAATTCCTGAGTATTAAAAATCGAAGAGTGAGATGAAGTCTTAACCTCTGAGACTTAATTTTACCTACAGTAACTTTAGTCACTACTATGCATTACAGAATGTTCTTTAAAGTGAATATTACAATTCTTACATAAAGTATGTGACTATTCCCTCTTAGGGTCAGAATTTTTTGATAGTACTATTTTGAAAATTATTATAATTTTATTAATTATTTTTCATACAAAAACATTTCCTTTACATATTATTTTCATGGTCTCCATGAACTGAATAACTGAGCACATATGTACATAACCTTTCTTAAAAGATAAAACAATCTCTGTTTCATCCTTACAGGACACTACCATCTCCTTGACAAATCACTATGTGCCTCCACAACTCGTGAACATCTGTTAATAAAACTCTTATTTCATTTCCTTCTCTGCACGTGTCTCTCAACCTTTAACCCTCAATAGATGTGTTAGATTCAGTTCTTTTTACTAGGTATCAAAAGTGGGGTGGGAATGGAAAAGAATACAAGTATTCCTTGCTATCTAAATCAATTCAGTTTCTAAGCTCAGAGGATGAGGGATATTGCCTCTATAGTTTCTGAATTTAAATAGTATTGTAATTTATAAAATGATGTGGCTTTTAATAGCAATTTGGTATAGTCAATAACAAACCCAACCTTCATGGATAAGTAGGGCTCCTCTGATTTACACGTAGAGATCACTTCCTTCCTCCTGAACCTATCAGTCATGCAACTACTGTTGACTCTAGGCATTTTACAACTTAACCATGTATCACTTCCCCTTCTGTTTCTAGAGCTACTACTAGAGTTTTCTCTCTTAGATGCTTCACTTGCAACTTCCTGGTTCCCACACTTCTCACCTGATCTCAAACTAGTTGGAACTGGGAACCTAACGGGAAGAAAAATTCCTACAGGAGAGAATGGAAATCTGCGGGAAAAAATATTCAAGATTTGGGTTTCCAGTTCCCCATGTAAGAAGCTTGGGAGTCACCACTCTGTCCCAACAAGGATAAAAGCTCAAGAGACTAAAATATCAACAACTCTTCTTGGATCCACAGAAGAGGACACAGGGCAAACTGCTACCCCCAAGATTGGAGACACAGACACAGACAGGTGAACACAGGGAGCTTATAGAAGTAGAGACTCAGAAGTGGAAACCAGCACTGGGTAGGAAAACCTGAACTATAATTAACAAAATGCTAGAGGTTCCACATGGGCAACTCTGAGTTTAAAAACTCCAGAGGGACACAGTCATAGGAAAGCCCTCACAATATTGTGAGATTTACCTCCAGGAACTTTACCAGATTCTCACACTAAATATCAAGAAAACTCCTCTCCTACTCCGAGCAGGAGAGGAAAAGGAATTTTTTGAAATGGTTGAGCACTTTATTATTCTTAACAAAGCCTGCCCTCAAGGAAAACTAGTTAATCAGAACCTAACCTGCTAGGGTACTATCAGAGCCTGAACTGAGTGCAAGGAATACCTTGAGTGGCAGCTCAGTCAAGCCATCCTATTCCACCGAAGGGAGGGGGAGAAAAATCTGAGGAACACTTGTGAACTTCACGATGCAAAGGCATAGGCTCATTAAAGGATGAGGACCTAATCACAGGACTGTATAACACTTGCCTTGCCCCCACACCTTACCACCACATTAGCAAGGCCTATCTACAGCAGTTCCTTTTATCTAGCATATCATGTTTAGCTATTCAGAAAAAATTCCAAGGCACACTAAAAGGTGAAAAACCTAATCTGAAGAGACAAAGCAAGCATCAGAACTAGACATGGCAGGAATGCTGGAATTCTCAGACCAATCTCTTCAGAAATATTCAGAATCAAACTCACCATTAGCTACAGAACAATTCAAATCAGCAGGCTATTCTAGATAAGACTCAGAAACGAAGATTCTTGCTATTCCTGATTTAGCTATTTCAAAACTATGTTCCTACAGCTTTCATGCCAGTCCTAACTATATATCTTAAATTCAGATACATCCAAAAGTATCAACAAGGGTTTCCAACACAGACTCAAAGGCAAGTGCTTCTCTAGTGGCAGAAGGGAACTGTCCTTTTTTCCTAACTGGAGTACACCTGATGACATTCTACCATATAGCCACATATATCATCAAAATAAGAAAAAAAGACCTATATTCATAGATACATAAATTTCAGTTCTTTGTCAAAGGAAAAGAATATTTCAATGATACTTACTCTCTTTTTTATTAACGCTTTCTTTTTTAAACGTTTCTGCATGATTTCTTTTTCCAACGATACCACCTGACTTGGAGTTAGTTGCTCTTGAATTCTATTTATCTCTTCTTTGTATGCCTGCCAGTCTGCCCTGTAAGCATCTTCATATATCTATAAATTAAAAGACCCAAATAAGAAGTCACTATGCTGTTGCTGGCTAATTAAACATAGCACATCTGCCAGGGAGAGACAATTACATGACTCTGGGTAAAGACATACCGAACCACCAGGTAGAAAATGTGCCTTGAAATCACATTTATAAATCACGTATTTTTCATATACATGATAACCAAGGTGAGAATCTAGCAATTGGCTTCCAATTTCAAATTCCTGCCAACTCTTCACTGCCACCCCCATATATCCACAGTCTCATCATCCACATGGATCAGAAGGTATGAAGTTCCTTTGTGGGCAATGGATGTTAAGTAAAACCTGGGGCATCTGGTCCCTTAAAGGAGATGACAACTGTTTTTAACTGCAGAATAACTGGTCAGCAATGTTGAAAACCTATATGCTTACTTTTTTCTCTGAATCAGGAAGTTCCCTCCATAGCTCGGCAATTTTTTTTATCAGTTCTGAATTTTTCGCATCTATAGAATGGAATAGTGAAAAAAGATGTCACAATTTTATGTCTCAGGATTAATTTCTAAAGACTTCCAGGAACACATAATCCATTAGCTCTGAAAGTTAGTATTTTTACAGACACCCCTATACTCACACAACTTAATACAATGATTTATCTTTCCTTTAACCAGCTAATTTAAATGATAAATAACTTAATGCTTTAACAGTGTTAAAGTCCGTTATCAATTAATTAAGGAATATATCACACACTACCAAAATGGTCCTCAGAAATTGATTATTAGTTTAAGCAATTGGGTAATCAATGTCTACAAGATTTTTACTTCATATTTCATTGAAACAATTTTTTCAAGTCTTTCAGTAATTATCAAGCTCATAAAACCTGACTAAACAACAAAATATAGTCTTGATTCACATAACACCTCCTTGTATTTCATAATACCATTTGCAAACAAACTAAATCATCCTAAAATCAATTCATTTTTCCCCACTTCCTTCCCCATCTTAACTGGAATAACAAGGTATAAATGATTTAACAAACCACTTGTACATTTTAAAAGATGTAAGTACTTAAGCATGTGTCTTAAACCAATTCTTTATAATGTGAGATTACAACTCATTTGATTTTCCCAAGTGCCTGGTGATGCACTGTCTGTGAAAGGGCTTTAGAAATCATAAGCAAAGGCTATTACTAAATTAGTCATTATTTTCACACTATAACCCAAATGAAGACCCACAGTCTTTCTAGGGAGTCAACAAACCTCCTAACTGGAAATCTTTCAGGAACTCAAGAACCAATTTTCAGTGAAAATTCACTTGAAATTAACATTAATTTGTGCAGAGCTTTAAAGTTTACATAACACTTCCACAAAGTTATTTCACTGCAACTTAAACAATTCCCTGAGGCAGAAGGAGGAGCTAGTAAGCAAGAGATAAAATGATTCATCAATGGTCCTCTAGGCCACTGACAACTAGGCCCAAAATCCAGCTTTTTCATCCTCTTCCCTGGGTGCTTCCCCCTCTATACACTATTTTTAAAGTATCTTTCACTAGTCCTCAATTACATTTAAAGCATCGTTATGGTAAAAAAAAAAAAAAACCAACAAACAAACAAACCTCCTATTTTACAGTCCATCAAACTGAACGGTTATGTTTCTGCAGGCACTAGGTGGTTTAGTAGTGTAAGTCACGTTTGCAGTCTAACTGCTTAATGATCTCTTTATTACATCAGAGAAGAGTACAAAGCCCAAAACTCCTTACCTGGGTTCTGAGCTTTAAATAAGGGTAGCTGTTCTTTAGAAAATCGAACGTATGAAGTCATAGGCTTCTTTGGATAACCAGTCAAGTTGGATGAATACCATCTCGGTACATACGCAAAACTACATACAAATAAAAAGAAAATAACCATCGTTAAGCATTTAAGTGCCCATATTCATATGCACACGAACACAGATGCCAAATAAGATGTCATCAAGATACTATACACGACACCGCCGACAAGAAAGCTAGTTACATTTAAAATCCTGTCCTATCCAGGGGTAAGAGCTTGCAAAACTTAAGTCCCAAAGCCCTTACCTCCTTAGGGAAGAGAGTGAAGGAAAGCATGTATACTCCAGCTCCTGAGCCCCGCCTTCTCCATGCCTAAATGAAGGCGGGAGACTCTTGGAGCAACTTCGCAGGGCACGCCGAACCGGGTGCTCCAAGGATGAATGGTGAAGAGGGGCGGAGAGGAAGGCGGAAGGTGGACGGAGGCCGGAAGCCAAGGCACTGGGTAGTGATGGAGTAAGGCCTGGTCCCAAAACCACGACCCCCTAGGCAAGGTCGAGGTGTGAATCAAAGGGCCAAGATGGCTCCGACCTTTTAGGAGGATCAGAAAGGAGAGAAAAGCGCCTACATTCCAATCCCAGGCTGTCCTGAGCCCTGCCGCCTCCTGAGGCGCAGGCGGGCTGTCCTACCTGAAGGGAGAACGCAGTCGACTTCCACAGCCCGCGCAGAGGTCCGCTCCTGACTTTCCCAGGGCACTCAGCACGCCCCACACGCCCCGGAGCAGCGCCATTGCAGCCGCGGACAAAGCACTAACCAAGCCCCAACCTCGTACAGCCCCCTGGCACACCAGAACAACTCGAACAATGACAACTTGAAGCCGTGAGAGACCCTCCGGAATCCGCTATCATGCCCGCCACTCGCGCGGCACTGTGGGAAATCGCTTAACATCCGGTTTAGGCAGGAGGCGGGGCAAGGAAGTACTGGCGCAGGCGCTGTACCGGCTACCCTGATGGGCAGTACTGCGAAGGAGGAGGAGGAGGAGGAGCTCGGGGGCGAAGAAGGGAAACGGCAGCCCGGCTCGCCTGCGGAGGGCCCTGGCCTCGAGGGGGCGCTGCTGAGCCGCCTCTGCCCCCGGGCCCCCTCCGCGGTCTGTTCCGCCGCGGGTCCTGGAGGCTGATGGAGGCACTGCGACGTCCTTACCCCGACCAGGCACTGGGTGGCGTCCGCCTGTGACGGCGGAAAGGGCTAGGACGTAACAAACAGTATTACCACGAGGACATGGGTAGCTGTGCCGCCCACGCTGCTGAGGTCAGGCTGCTGGGTGCTGCGAGCCCAGCTAAGCGCCTCAGTGCAAGCAGGAGTCCAACTACACACTGCCGAGGAGGGGAATGGAACATGGTTTCAAATCTAAAAATGCTGATTCCCGGGCTTTACCGCAAAGCGTGATTCAGTACGTCTGTGTGGGTCCCATGCATCTGTATTTTTAACAAGTTCCTCAACCTTTAACAAGTTCTAATGCCAGTAGTCATGGGACCACATTTAAAGCAATACCATCGTCCCATCCACTGCAACCATTGGTGACCCAGTCTTCAACGCAATATGCTCAATTTGTAGGAGGAAACTTTGACTAGTTAGCTGTCCGGAAACGGATTCTAGCCCCAGCGTTAGCATTAACATTTTGATCCGGGAATGTCGCATCCCTTCTCTCAGATTTAATTTCTCCCACTGCAGTTAAGGATGTTGGACCAGATCAGAGTTTTCTCAGCCTAAGCTCTGAGAACGTGTGACAAGTACGCCTTGCGATGGCGTTTGCTGTACAACTGTTCTCCCTGGAGGCGATGGCATGAAAAAGATTGGGAAGACCGAAACTAAAGCTATCTAAGAGCCCTTCTAGCCTTTACATTCCAGTTTCAAGGATAGCCGCCTCCTGAAACAGCCTTTCCTCTGCTGGATAGCTGTGTTAGAAAATTCTCAGCAGTGTAATATGGAACGGAGAATCTGCTATCTTTCTGTAGCTTTGGAATCACTGGCCCTTTGATGCTGCAAAGGACTAACCCACTTCTTTTCAGTAATAAGCAACTATCACCACTTCCCTTTTCACAGATTCTCAGGATTGAAAGGGACCTTCTAGGTCATCTGTTCTCACCTCTCACCCTGTCTTGCAAGAAACAGGTGTTTGGGGGGGTTTTCTTATGTACAAGTTCCCAAACGTAGGTAAAAGGCAAGACATTCTCCCCACCTCCAGTAAAGTCTAGTGGCAGAGGTCAAAAATGAACAATTACAATTTCTGAAACAGTTTTTCTCTACATTTTTCTAGAATATTTCTCTTCTTTCAGATGTTTGATATAAAGTACTCTTCTTTTGGATATGTAAAAAATCTTTTTGTGGTTTTAAAAATGTCATTTTGATAAATTTTGCTGTAAAGTTCTTATAGATCTGACCTGTAACATTTCTGTTCTCATCAGATGCCAATATTCCTTAAAACTCATGTACACTGCAGTGATAATTTTATTCCAAATTCAGTATTTACACAAAAAATATAATTCTACCTACTTACGCAAACTTCTTTAAACAAAAAGGCATATGGTTTCATGTATATTCACTTTACAAAACTTGAAGACTTACCACAGTCTTTTCCAGGGTTCTGTCCCTTTATTATGTTTTAAAAGTTCATCCATTTCCATCACATCAGCTATCAGTTATATCCTCATGATTCCCGTATTTTATTTTGAATCCAGATCTCTCCTTTTGGTCCCACATCTGTATAACTGCTCTCTTCTGTGCATCTTTACCACGATGTTTCACAGCTACCTCAGTTTTCCCTAAACAGAATTCACTATCTTTCCCCTATCTTGAACTTCTTCTCTTGGTAAGAGATACCAGTATCCCACTGAAATTATCTAAGCCAGTAATTGATAAATCATTTTATAATCTCCCTCACTCCTCCCCTATCGACCAACTGATGATAAGTTGCTGATTTTACTTCATTAAATTCTCTAGGAAGTACTTCCCTCCTCTTTGCCTCTATTGCTACTGCTTTTGTTCAGGCCAGTAGTGTGATGATAAATCAGCTCTCCATGGCGTAAATACTCCCACCATGGCTGATTTCAAAGTACCACCTGGATGTTACTGAACCTGACATACACATAATTGGCTCTTCAAGCCAGTACCAACCAGCTCCTGTATGCCACTGGTTCAGGCTCTGCCATATTTTCCCAAAATCTGATGTAGTTTTCCTACTTTCAGTCTTATTTCCCTCCAAACTGTATTCCACACTGTCACCAGGTCCATCTTTCTAAAAGGCAAATCCCATTTATTCATTTGTTTATCAGACACGTATGGAGCACTAACTCTATGTACTTGAAATCTTCAGAGGCTCCTGATTACCCACAGAATCAAGCTTCAATTCTCATACATGGCATACAGGTCCTCCATGAACTGGCCTTTCTGTTTCCTCTATAGCATCATTCCTCACTTCCCCTTTGTTTGAAATAATTTATTAATTAAATACCCACTTCTTCTTCTGATTTAATAAGTACATCAAACCACTTCAGTCTGGCTCTGAGTTTACTGTTCCATTTTCTGTGATATGTCAAAGTTATGGAAATTACTGAATAAGAATAGAGGCTTAGAAGTTAGGCAGATCTAGATTCAAATCCTGCTCTTGTTACTTACTAGCTATGTGACCTTGCCAGATGACAATCTCTCTGACACAGAGATTTCCCCTCTGTGAAGGAACAGTAATGGTTGATTCTTGAGATCATTATGAAGATTAAATTAGAAAATGTGTTAAAGGTTCTTAACATGGCCTCTGGCACATAGTAAAAGCTCAATAAATAATGGCTATAATTTTCCTTACATTATTCATAACAATTATTGTTAGTATCTAAATAATTATAGGTATGGTATGGATTGTCCTGAAACAAAAAAAGTCAGATTTGCTTCACAGCCCTGTCTTTTCTGGTTGTTTCCTCTCCATATTAAATAGCATATGTACATACATATTATATACCTGCATCGCTCCTCTCCTATTGAACTTTTAACATTTCCTAAATTAGCAATGTTTGAGTGTAAACACTGTGGTAGGTGATGAAAAACTAAAACAACATACTCCTACGTTGGAATCATTCTTTAATGTTTTTAGAACATTTTAATGTAATTGTACTTAATTGTATAATTCCAAGTTGAAGAAGTCAACAGAGAAGGTATTATCATGATCATAGTTCCCAACTTATAGATGAGAGAAATTAACTTCAGAAAGCCCACGTTGCAAGGTTGCAACAGTTAGTCAGTTATGGAGGTGGAAACTTGGTCTTCCAATTCATTGTCTTGTGCTTTTCCCATAATCAGACTCTCCCTCTGATTCAGTCAACACATCACATCATTCCAGCTCAAAAGATTTTCCTTGGATCTTCTAGGGTATATGAGCTTGTATTATTTTCTTGTGACATCATATAGCACTCCAGTTTTTAATCTATGTTTATGTGCAAATATTTTTTCCTCAACATTTGGTAAGCTACTTGAGTACAATATTAAGTCTTCTGCTTCCTTCTGTCCCCTATAGTACCTAGCATAGTGTATTGAGCATGACAGATGGATAGAGGGATGAAGAGAGTGACAGAGAGAGGGAGATAAAAAAATGTGAGAAGACTAGTACCTGCACAAATTATTTATATACAAACAGCCCCATAGAAAACAGCACTTACCTGTTACAAGTGTCATTGGCCAACAGGAGGGACAGCTATGGGTCGAGATGGGAACCGTGTAAAATTTGGGAACATGTCTATGAAAACAATGATCACATTCATTGATGACTGCACACTGGTAAAGCTGAAGGTAGTACCAGTAAATAGCAGCAGTCAGAGACCAAGAGAATTCCCTGATGAATAACAGAGTTAGATACAGAGATATCACTTCAAGAAAAAAATATTCCTAAGAGAAAGCAGTCTTGCTTTTGTAATTATAATGGATAAATAATTCAGCAACAGTAGAAGCAATCACCTAGTAGGCTCAGCACGAGGAATAGATGTGATTCAGAACTCGTAAGTAAAATATATTTCTAGAAATAAGATTATACTGTAAATACCACATTTAAAAACAATTTACTCTATACTGTGTAGCACAGGGAAATATATACAAGATCTTATGGTAGCTCACAGAGGAAAAAATGTGACAATGAATACATATATGTTCACGTATAACTGAAAAATCGTGCTCTACACTGGAATTTGACACAACACTGTAAAATGATTATAAATCAATAAAAAATGTTAAAAAAATTTACTCATCAGCAATCATATAGCACTATGATAGGCACTAGAAGTGGTACAAAAAGGATGACATCATTCCTGTTTCAAAGAGGTTACATTTTGACCGGGGAAATAAAGTATAAACATACGAACATTACAAAAGTGTAACAATTTATTGCAACAATATGAGAAAAAATGATAATCTGAATATCTCTGAGCTTATCTTTCCTACAAATCAAAATTTTAATAAAGTTAGTTTTCTTCATGTACAATTTTTTTCAAAATACAACAGTAATATAATTTATATATGAAGAAAACTACATGTATAATTTTCTTCAAACCATTTTCTTTCACTTAGAGTCTATTATCACATCATGAGAGTTTGCCTTTAAAAACAGTATATAAAAAGATGGAAGAGATAAATTAGAAAGATCTATTGCATATTAATAGTTCCCATATACCCAAATTAGTTTACAAATTATTTCTCAATTAGAACAACGTCTGCAAGCAGCCTTAATTATTAAGAGTGTATCAGAGTTATTTCTGGCCACTCACTGTAGCAGTATTATGCAAAATAAATATAGCTTTTCTATTTTAAAGCTGATTCTATGAGTCAGCAGGAGGAAGGACAAGTAAAAAGGATAGCTATAATTTTATGCAAATTTATAAAACCCAAATTCACATTGCCGGATTTGAAAGCTGATTTAAAGAATGAAAGAAATTCAGAATAATTGTATTGCAGGAATAACGCTATTAATAAACAAGATAACCTATATCATCTGCCCTCACATTATTGTAAAACACCTGATCAATACAAGTGATAATAACTATAATTTATTGCTCAACTATGTGCCAAGCATGTTAATGTATTATC